CAACTTTATAGGACACTATTTGAAAATTTGTCCTATAAAAACAAGTGTCCTATAAAAAATGAGTTAATAGAATACTTTCTCAAAAGTGTCCTATAAAGTTGCTAATGCGACACTTTGTATTAAAAATGTCCTAAAAAACTTGTTAAAACGTCCAAAAGTGTCATATAAACTTATTACAACACCTTTAGATAGTACGCTTTATATTTTGGTCCTATAAATTAAGTCCTATAAAACAGTCTATTGGAACGTTTATAAATTGAGAGTGTCCTATAAACTCAATTTTATTGTAATGGATCATTACCATAATTACCACGAGAACATCAAATTCGTGCAGATTCATTCAAAAAAAGTTGTGATACAAAACCCATGTCAATAAAAACCCTAAAAACCTTATAAAAACAAGAAAAACAAAACCCTAAATCAATCCAAAAGATCAAGAATGAAAACTAACTTTTTATTATTTACGAAGAAAACAAGAAGAGAAGTTAGAAGAGCAGAAGACGTAGGATTAAAAAAACAATAATACCACATGGAAAAATCTATAATGTACACAATAATATAAATAGAAAGAATAAGTTACAAATTTCATCCCTCAACTATTCCTTGATTTGCAGGTTTAGTCCATTAACTTTTTCTTTCATGTACTAGTCTTTGAATCATCAAAAATATTAAAATATCATTAAATGGCTCACGTCACACGTGTTAGAAAACATATTTTGCAAAGATTTTAACTATTTAATTGTTAATAGTCTAATAATTGAAAAACCACAAGAATATAAAGTGCTTACAATTTTTTGAATTAATTTATTAAAAAATATATTTAAGGCAAAATACACAAAATAATATTCTACTTTCATAAATTTCCTTATTATAGTATTATATTTCCAGTTTTTCTTATTACAGTAATGTACTTTCAAACTATTTTTTATTATAACATTGTACGTTGAAAAATTTACCCATTATCTCAGGTTTTCATGTCACCTCATTGTCCATGTAGGTTGTTCACATGTACTATAGTGATGTGACTTTCTTATTACAACATTGCACTTCAAAATTATTTTATTATAACATCTATCAGTTCTTATTAAACAATGTATTTTTAATTTTAATATTTAGATATTTTACATGTTATTTAATACATATATTATATGAATTAAAAAAATTAAATTATTTTTAATATACCAATATAAATAAAAGTAGTAGAAGACAGCTTATCTGGCTAATATTTTTTTAAAAATATGTGTTTTTTGAAAAAAAAAATAAGAATGTTTCCTTTTTTACCAAAAAAATATTATTTTTTGTAGAATATATTATATTTGTTCAAAAACTTTACTTGACGTATAAATATATTAAATTAATTAGATCTTTTTAAATTATTTATTAATATAACAATATTAAAAAATTGTAGAACACAATTTATTTCGTTAACATTTTAGAGAGAACTTTAAAAGATATGTATTTTTTGAACAACATTAAATAACAAGTGTTACATTTTTTACAAACAAAATATATCTCGAAAATAATGTAGCATATTTATTTAAGAAATATTTTACTCTAGAATATTTAATTTGCATGCAACTTAATAAGAAAAAGTCAAAAAAATTAAATGTTTTTTTAAATCATAACAATGAAAAATGAAAATCACTAATAATAATTTGAAATAGGTTTTTACTTTTATTTTAATTATGTCATCAAAATGATGTGTCATCCACATCACCTCATTAAAGTCACACAAGCAAAAAAAGTCAAGGGGTTAACCGATTTAAAAGGTAACATGTTACTCATTGCTATAATGGATAGATTTTTTAAAGTGCGATACCTTAATAAAAAATAATTTGAAAGTACATTGTTGTAATAAAGAAAAACAAAAGTAGAATGCTATAATAAGAAATTTTATAAAAAGTAGGTTACTATTTCATGCATATTTTGGTAGTATTTTTTAATAATATTTATAAAATATAGGGAAAATTAGAAAAGTGATGATGAATCGAGCCCAGCCTAAGGACGAAACTTGTAACATCCATTTTATGCATCTAATTTTTGTATTTTAGTTTGTGTCTTTTATGCATTCTAGTTCTTAGTTTAGTCATTTCATGCATTTTTTTTCTTTTCTGTTTCTTTCTCTAATCACAGTTCGAATGGCCTTCTGGAATAGTTTTTATGCTTTTGGTATGTTTTTGCGCTGATTATACGAATTGTTGAAGGCGGCATGGCGGATGAATCAGATGGATTGAAGAGTGATGTCAAGAAGGAAGTGAAGAAAAAGGACATTTATACCCATGATGATGAAGACTTGGAGCAAAAAGTTGAAAATTTGAAGATTGAAGATTCTGTCACGCTTCACAGGCACGCACGAAGGATAGCCTTTAGGGTCACGAACAAAACCTTTCATGAATAAAAATTACATTTTCTCTACTTTCACGGACGTCAGACCCACCTTTTACACCAGTGAACCTTGTCTAGGAAAAATAACTCAATTTTTTGTTTGCTTTCATGCTCATGAAGAGGTTTGTCTTCACGGTCGTAAAAGGCATCTGGTAGCTCAACTTTTAAGGGTTTTTTGGTACTTTCGGCTTGCCTTTATATTTGTTTTACGTTATTTTCTTAGGGATCGACCCTTATTTTTTGTAGAGCACGAGATACTCTCGTTTTTGGGTCTTTTTGGTCGACCTTTTCATAACTTAGGGAGGAAGATCTTGTGCTAAAGGCTTATGCAATTCGATACCGATTAACATTCGATTTTCATACGTTATTGAGAATCTTGTTCCCTATCCCCTTAGTTTATTTGATTAATTCTTGTTTTGTTCGACTATTATTACTTAATGAATCGTTCTTGAGTTTTCTCCATCAAATTTTCAAGATTCTTGTTGGTTTGCATCAAGGTTCAAGTTTTCTGCACCTTTCTATTGTTTACTTCATTATTCTTTATGTTTATGCATCTCTACTTCATACACTCTACTCTTATTTACTGGATTTGATTCATTTCTGCACCTTTTATTTTGCTGCACTTTCAATTTCTACAGATTAGGTTAGGTTAGACAATAAAAATCTGGTCCCTGAAAACTAAAGACAAGACAAATACTTGTACATTTTTTATGTAATACATGAAATATGTATATTGTATTGTATATATAAAATGCATATTATATTAGGGTTAGGGTCTGGTGAGGATGAAAGTTATCGTAAGAAGGGTAAGAATATATATTCACTATTAAATCAATCCTAATGAGATATATTAAATCAATTCCCTTTTAAAATGCAATTCATGGGTTGTATTGGTATTAAAAGTGATCAAGTGTTCAAATCCTTTCTTACATTTCTCACTTCAACTTCTATTCTCACACGATCATTCGTCAATTATATTATAATATATATTAACTAAATTTTTTTTAAAAGAAAAACGATAGGTAAATGAGAATAGTCTTAAACTCCCCTAACTTAACATATTCTTTTAACATAGTCATCTTATATTTTTGAGACTCTAGGGATGAAAAATGTTATACCCAACAAACCACATGGACCAAACTTGTAGGTTATTCTAATTGTAATTAACGATAAAACCCCCATTAAATTAAAATTTTAACCATAGTTGTTTTCTTTTCTGTGGGTAGATAATATTCATGATTGGCGTTGGAGAAACGCATGGAAAACCCTAAATTCTTTATAAATACTTTCAAATTCTTGAAATACTCACCAATCTTTCGCTCAAAACTTCACCGCTCTTGACAACATGACAGGTTTTTGTTATATCTCTCCATCTCTGTACTGTTTAACTCCATTCATCAACCCTAATGTATGTCAAATTATATTAGGGCTAAAACCCTTTCGTTTTGCGAGGGTTTTATTGCTTCCCATTTAATCGTGTTTTATGAGTATCGGAATAGTTTCCCTTTTGCAAAATTCTAAGTTAGTTGATCTTTTTTCTTCTGTTTTTGCTTCGAGAGCTTGGGAATTGAGTAGGTTGACATCGATCCTCTTTTTAATGTTCTAAGGAAAATTGGGTTTTGACTTTTGCCTGCAATCTCGTTTGTTGAATCGTAGTCTATGTTTCCAATTTTGAAGATGATTGAGGAAGTGGGATTAAGTTCAAATTTTCCACTGTGAATAATATCATGCTGTTTCTCAGTTGGTGATTTTGTTTACTAAAACTGTTTGTTTATTAAGTCCTCGATTAAAAGATCAACCAAGACTTGTATCTTGAATTTCAAAATTCAAAGGGCTATTGCAAGTTGAAAATTGAAATTATTGTGGATTCTAAATTCATAGAAATTGGATAAGAATCTGCAACTTTATAAGTAAATCTCTGTATCAAATTTAGGACAAATTGTATCGAAATAGAACGTAATTTGTGATACTTTTACTTCCAGAAGATTGATTTCGGGTTATTGTTCGATGCAATTAAGAGAAAATAACATCAAAATAAAGTTCTAAAAAGTATGTTCTCTAAAATAGGAACCATACCAAAGTATAAGGTATGTTCAATCTTGATGCAATTTACCTTCCATTTCAATAGGTTTTGTTTGGTGCAATTTACCCTCAACCTTAATATGATTAGCATCATCCGAGTTCAATCCAATTTTCACCCAGAAATTCCCAGATGGTATTTTTCAAATTCAAGACCAACATGTATTTATATGACCTTTAAAATTTGGATGTAGACTCAAGTTTGACGTAAAATAGTTTGAATGTTAATGTTCTTTTAGGTAATATATGATTGTGGTTAATGATATCTTGGGTTGGATGGAAACGGGATTGAGTTTTATCTGAATTATTCGTGTTAAATTGATGTGTAGATGCTATAGATGTAAAGAAATAATGTTTGGAATAGCTCTGTGTTTTAGATATTGTATTTTGCCTTGAATATAATAACATTAGTCATGTTTTGTAAAGAGTCTCATTTATAGTAACCTTTCTAGGATCATACCGAAATGACTAGGTAAATCTGACCTGAAAATAAGGTTTTTAGGGGGGGGGGGGTGTTGAGATGTACTCAGACCTCGCCCTCAAAGAGTAGAACAACTGTTTATGTGAACGCCCACAATTTGTGCAAAAGCGTGAAAAAAGGGGCAAAAGGAACAAAGTCTAGCACATAGTGAACATAGAACAAGAAAAATAAGAAAAAGGTAACGAGTAGGTACATTGGAAACATACAAAAGGTAAGATAAGACACACAAAGCAAGTACAGAAAAGACACTCTTCTAGCTAAAGGCTATCTATTTACCCATTGTTGTTGTTCCAAACATCAATGACATTGATTTTGTTCCATAAGGTTCACTTAAAACCAAACCCAATATATCCCAACCCGAGGTAGGTTAGGGGAGTTGGGGGTGGGTGGGTAGGGGGGAGGGTGTCTTGACCTTTACCCCAAAGAGTAGAAGAGTTGTTTACGGAAAGACCCCCGACTTATTTTCTTATTTATTAAAGCACCATTGTTGCTTGGATTGAAGTTCTATGGGCTCTTCAGTATCTTCTCTTTATATTAATTAACCTTCTTGTACCAAAATCTTTCCAAAGATATGCTAATCGACTAATTCTTTTGCTTTTTTGTTAATTTCCTGATAGATAATGAAGATTTGATTGTGGTAAACGATGGTCAATCTATCCCATTGCCACTCGCCAAACTTAAGCGTTGGCAATGGTGGACTCTCATTGTCATCAACATATGTTTCCTCCTTATTGGTCAAGTTGTCGCTGTTCTTCTTGGCCGGTTTTATTACGATCAAGGTGGGAATAGTAAATGGATGGCTACACTTGTTCAAACCATCGGATTTCCCATCCTTTTCGTCCCATTTTTTCTTTTTCCTTCGTCTAAACAAATACCAACTACACCCACCACATCTTTTTCGCTTCCGGTTGTTTTATTGTTCTACTTAATAATTGGTACCGTTATTGCTGGTGACAACATGTTGTATTCTGTGGGATTATTATACCTTTCAGCCTCTACTTATTCACTCATTTGCGCTACCCAATTGGCCTTCAATGCAGTTTTTTCATATTTCATAAATTCCCAGAAGTTTACGGCTTTAATTTTCAATTCTGTGGTGGTTCTTTCTTTATCGGCATCTCTGCTTGCCGTTAACGATGATTCTGATAGGCCTTTGGGAGTCACAAATGGGAAATATTTTATTGGTTTCATGGCTACACTTGCTGCGTCTGCTCTTTATGCTCTTTTACTTTCAGTTATGCAGCTTTCTTTTCAAAAGTTAATCAAGAAAGAAACTTTTTCTGTTGTTCTTGAGCTGCAAATCTACACTTCTTTCTTTGCCACTTGTGTCTCCACTATCGGTCTTTTTGCTAGTGGTGAGTGGCGGACTTTGAGCGGAGAAATGGACGGTTTTGGGAAGGGGGGTCTGGCTTATGTGATGACATTGGTGTGGACCGCGGTGGCTTGGCAGGTGTGTTCTGTTGGTGTGGTGGGGTTGATTTTTGTGGTGTCGTCGTTGTTTTCTAACGTCATTAGTACACTGTCGCTGGCTCTGACGCCGCTGGCGGCGGTGGTGGTGTTTCATGACAATATGAATGGCGTAAAAGTAATAGCGATGCTGATGGGCTTGTGGGGTTTCTCTACTTACATTTATCAGAACTATCTTGATGATCTTAGCATGAAGAGAAAACAAAGGGACGCAAATGCCAATGGTACGCAACTTACATCTTAGAGTTGAAGTTCTTTTTTTTTACCATTTTTTGTCTAGATATTTGAATGTTACCGTCAAGTTAGCCGTTTATGAAATAGTTACTAATAGATAGAGTCAATGATGTGTTTTTTGGTCTTTATGTGATTATTTTTTTTCATTTTCTACCGTTTAAGGTGTTCATGATCAGATTTTCATTTTCTTTATCGTTATATACTAGTCCCGACTCATGCGATACAAACCATATTAAAGAATATTTCAAATTTATACTTGAATTGGATAGAAATTACAAGTTGTGGGGTAACAGACCCCATCATTGATTTGATATATTGATAAGGTTTGAATATGTCCTGCCGATTTGATGATTTGGTAAAAAGACCTGAAAATATATCGATATTGGTGTGGTCATATTAATGAATAAAAAATTCTCTTTTTTTTTTTTGTATAATTTTAATTTTTGTTGTAATTTAAATATTTTGGATTTAGAATGAAAATGTAGTTTATTTTAGTATTTTCTTTCAGATAAAGATAATGATAGCACGTTCTGTTACGGTTTGATTATTATTATGTGTTTATTAGTTTGTTATTAGGTAACTTTATGAATATCAACAAGTTATAAGAAATTATACATATACAGTTATTATCGTTAAACTGGAAATTTAAGGGATTATACATTATTAACCTGAATCTGATACTTAATAAGTTGTTTTTATAATCGAAATTTATGATTGGCTTTTTAGGATTAAGGTCTAGTTTCTTTTATGCGCGTTTAGGAACAGTTCTGTCAGAAGCATCTGCTCCATTGATTTCTACTTGAATGATCAGTAGAAGCAGGAAAACTTGCTCCATGAGATATGTGTTTTGACTTTTTTGGTCAAACGAATCGATTTTATGCTGCAAAATTCATAAATTTTGGATTATATCAGGATAAATATATTGATTATATTTTTCTAAGAGACAAAATTAGAGGTGGGTATGAATTTGCAATGACTCGTTTGACCATAAAAGTCAAAATTGATTTCTTAGTTTGGAATGGAGGTGATGAATTTCCTCTTTGGGTAATTGTGGATCATGGAAATGGGATGGTGGCTTTTGGTGGTGGTGGTAGCAGCGGCGGTGGCCGTGACAGAGTTGTTATTGGCGGTGGTGATATAAATTTCGTGTTTTTTTCCATATGCAAAACAATGTATGAAACAACACTGGATGAACATTTAATGCTTTACATGTGTTGTTTTCATATGTACGAGGATACATGAAGCCGGTTTGTAATATTTATTGAGTTTGTATTTGATTTGTTCTATACTCTCATATTGATCTATGATACATGTATAACATCTTTTATATTTATTTTTGGTAATTGTTGATGTACGAACAACTTATGCATACTTCAACCAAATCCATGAGCATGGTATTGAAGTTAACATCCTGCCAACCTTAAGACTGTGTATGGTACATGGGATAGGCGGGACAAGACGGGTCAAACTCACAGAGCATGAGACAAGGACAAGATGGGACAAAAAATGTTTTCTTTTTGTTCCACCAACATAAGTGGAACAAGATGAGATAAGGATGAGACAAAAACTAAAAAGATTACTAATCTACCCTCATTTGATATAATTCTAATATGATATTTGTTTTAATGATTATTACCGTCCACCGTTGTTGACACCACTAGCAGCAACCAACAACTACCACCGTCCACTGTTAGACACCTCTACCATAACCACTAGCACCATTGAAAACCACTACGGTGGCGTTTGGTTCTCAGATTCTGGAGGAATATGATAGAATTGAAATGTTGAATTCTGTTGCGAAATTCCGTCCCTCATTTAGTTCATTCTTTTTTAGGGAAAGAATCTTCAAAATCCATTGAATGTTGGTTCAAAAAGGAATTTATACGTTCCTTGGCAATAAGTTGGTATTTTAATAGAATGGAAAATCTTAAATATACTTCTTAACTCTATTATGATAAAATAGACGCACACCTCCTTCTTCATTGCATTGTTTTTGATTTCTCGCCATTGTTTTTCAAGTTTGATTTCTCTTTTCTCCATAGCTTCTTCTGGTTCGATTTCTTAATTTCTCTCTACTATGTGCTCGATTTCTACTCCATAATATCGTTTTCTTCTTCTCAATTCACTTGTTTTTTTCCTACTCATTTTTACTAATAATAGATTTTTCTACTTATTTTTTTCGTTCGAATTTTTTTCCACTCGATTTTTCTGATCATTTTTCCTGTTTGATTCACTTGTTTTTAGTGATAACCGATTTTTCTACTTTATTTTTTCTACTTTATTTTTTCTACTCGTTTTTTTCTGCTCGATTTTTTTATGATGACAACTTAGAACTCGATTTTTGTTCTTGTATTAATAATATTTTTTGTTATGTTGTTTATGTGTTTGTGTTGCATTAGAATAAATTTTATATTATTTTACACATTACAATAATACAAAATATTGTGTATTTTATACTTTGATATTTTATATTAAACTATTTTTAGCTTGAAAAAAATCAAACTTTTCAAAAAAAGGGTACCTTGTCATTTACCACATTTCTTTCCAATTCAAAAACTATATTTTATGAATGAAAAAACAGATTTCAATTCATTTAACAGATTTAATTCAAGTGTCTGCTAACAAAATACGTGATCAAAATTGATAATATTTCATTCCAATTTCTTCAAAGTGAAATTTCTTTGACATATTTCATTTCATCTAAAAATATTTACTGAACCAAATGTCATGTAAACACCTTATTCATAAGAAATAACAAATAGTTGGGTCTTTCAGAAGCGATATTTCTACTTTTATGGGGGTAAAAGTGAGATCTGTCTATATTTTACCTTTTTCAATCAATGTTCGTCGAATTTTAAAGTTGAAGGAAAAATGAGTTATAAGATAAAAATATAAAATTTTGTGCTGTTATTTGTTATAAAAAATTTGAGTTGTTAATATCAGTAGGGGTCAAAATAACTTTGGCCATGTTTGATAAATACAAGTTATTTTATTTTTTATTGTATTGTAAAAATTCTCGTTTCAATGTATTGTCATTTGATTAGTTTAACTGATTTACATATGAATTCGTGTGATTAGTTAAATAGTTCATATGTGAATCATAACTTATCACACAGGTTCGTAAATGAATAAGTTAAATAGTTCATATGTGAATCATACAGGTTCACGTATGCATATATAGTTCATATTTGAATCATACAGGTTCACATATCCACTTGTTTGTCGTATATTTGTAAAAGTTATGAAACTACCCATCTATTTTCCGCATAACATCCCATCGAATTATCCGGTGCTTCACAGTCAAAGCCGCAAATATTGACCAGATGAAGAGTTAAGATCACTTTACGATGACTACTTCTTCCTCTTCCACATCCTCTTACTCTGTCCCTACCTCGGCCTTTTTCTCTACCCCGTCCAACTGGTAGATTTTCAGGAATATTTTTGAGTGAGCTTTCTCTTTCGTCTAGGCTCATGAGAGCAATCCTTTAAGACCTTATAGATTGACTTAACATCTGTCAATTTGCAAAATTTAATATTCACATAATTACATTCCGCAAAAATAATAAGGTATCCAAGCACAAATATGTACCTGTAAACCCATGAATAATAAGGTATCCAAGCACAAATATGTACCTGTAAACCCATGA